AGTTTTATTCATACTCCTACTCGTCTACTAATCGAAAAATTGGGACTTCTCCATTGGGTCGTTTCCAGCAGTAAATGCCCGATTTGTGGAGTGTTAACCGAAATTCTTAGATGTTTTGTAGACAGGAAGGCATTACTTAAGTAGGGTCGGAGGAATACGTACCGTGTAGCATGATCTCAAGATATTTCGGTTGTTTCGGGATACCGACTTTGAAATGCAGATTCCCTTCAGCTGCCTGAAAATCCCCACTTTATTTTAAAAAAATCATTAAATAACGTAGGAATTTCCATTGATTTTTTGTGTCCTATTAAGTTTAGGTGTATTTTCATAAAAAACATAAGCCAAGATATTATAACCTACAGTAGACGCGTTGATCATGCAATATTTCGACATATGCGAAAGACTAATACTCTTTCGCTAATCGGAATTGACTCCAGTTGTGATACTAATGTTTATGTTGTCTATTCTGAAGTCATTTCAGTCAGGATAGGATGCTGGCTTTTTAACTAGCTTCGTTCCGACCACTAGCAAAACGAATCTATTGTAAAAACTGACTACTTATGTAGTATGCCTTTTTATCATTGATTTTGACTGCCTTTATAAATTCACGACTACTTAAGTTGTATGCCTTTTTATCATTGATTTTGACTGCCTTTATAAATTCAAAATATACTTTATGGAAAACATGCACGAGAAAATTATTTTTTGTACTTGTTTGATTGCAAATTATGTTCACAGAAAACATGGACGAAAAAATTGTTTCTTGTACATGTATGATAGCAAATTACGCCTTCTTTAAATTTTGGAAAACATGCACGAAAAAATTTATTTCTTGTACTCTTTTGGTAAAAATTAGTACACGAAAAAGTCCTTTCTCGTACTTATCTGATAACAAATTGCGCCTCCTTACACGAAAAAATTATTTTTTATATATGTTTGATAGCAAATTACGCCTTCTTTAAATTTTATACTCAAAGGAAGGGTGTGTGCATGTTTGATAGCAAATTACGCCTTCTTTAAATTTTATACTCAAAGAAAGGGCACTTTAAAAAACTTGCTCAATTGCCGAATAATTTTCTAATCTAGTGACTGCTAT